TGGCCATCTTCATCAACCAAAGCCGATTAAAAAGGAAAAAACCACTCCTCTGCCGCCGACCCACCACGCCACCACCTGTAACCTCGTCTGGGTAGACGCCAGTAAGGATAATGTGAGCAGCATACCAAACATGATCAAAGGCGGCTATGAGGAGAATGGTGAGGAGCAGTTCATTTGCCGAACCCGGGATCCAGCCGACATCAACTCCTTCACTGGTAAAATGACCATCCGTCAGGGCCTCTGTCTGATCAGCTGGAGGCCTGACCGAGCGTACAACGCCTACTACCAAGTGCTCACTAACCCGAAAAAAGTGTCTCTGCGCTGGGTCAAAGACAAAAGCGGACATGTCCCACCAAAAGCCTGGAAGGCGGCAGTAGTGAAGGTGAACACCGATCCTTCTGACTACTACGTTGGTCGGACAAAAGTGGGCAAGTCGCTTCAGGTTGGCAAGATTAAGGTGAAGGGCGCACATGTTTTGTTTTACGTCAACAATGGCAGGTACAAAAACTACACCCAAGCGTTCAGACGCCAGCGCAGTCCTTGGTACTACAAAAATCTCGACAACAAAGCCCAGAAGTACTCAGTGTCTTACGAAGCCTTGGTCGTCTGCTGAGAATTTTCAGTAGGTTGGAGCATTAATAGAAATTGTAATAAAGTTAAAATTATTAATTTGCAATTAATTTAGCAAAAACCATTGCCTTTTTAATTAAAAATGAAAAAACAGTTTCAAGGTTGCAACTGGCACTCCTCTAACACTTTATAAGGCTGCTTCAGCATTTGAGTACTTTTATTTTAGACAATTGAAACAAAATTGAGCAAAATGACAAATTTTGTTGTATGCTTACTATTCCTTAGTTTGTGTGTCTTATCTGAGACCTCCAGCAGGCAGCATTACCAAATTGATGTGAAACAGTCCAAACTTGGCAAAGCTTGCCCCTCCAATTCACCTGCATCAGAGATAAACCTGAACCTGCTTTGCGAGCCCAACAGCGGAGCCCAATGGTTTTGGAGCTCCACACCTATAGTTGATCAAGGGGATGCACTGAAGATTTACGAAAGCATCGACAGCAAGCCAGCGGCAACAACACCGCCGACCCACCATGCCACCACCTGCGACCTTGTCTGGGTGGACGCCAGCAAAGCGAACGTCAGTCAAATTCCCCACAAAATCAAGGGTGGCTACGAAGAGAACGGCGAGGATCAGTTCATTTGCCGAACCCGAGACCCAGTAGACCCCAACAGTTTCACCGGTAAACTGACCACCCGTCAAGGCCTCTGTCTGATCAGCTGGGTCCCTGACCGAGCATATAACGCCCACTACCAGGTGCTCACTAATCCAAAGAATGTGCCCATCCATTGGGTGCCAGCCAGCGCCGGTCACGTGCCGCGTAACGCCTGGAAGGCAGGAGAAGTGAAGATCCAATCTACACCTTCTGACTACTACGTCGGACGAGCAAAAGTGGGCAAGTCGCTGCAGCTGGGCAAGATCAAGGTTAAAGGAGTGCAGAAGCTGTGGTACGTCAACAACCGCCACTACCGAGACTATGGACAGGTTCACAGTAAGGTGGCTAGTTCGTTGTGGTACTACAAAAATCTGGACAACAATGCCCAGGAAGGCTCAGTTTCCTATGAGGCGTTGGTCGTCTGCTGATCGCTTTCAAGTGGATGGCTCAATGTCAATAGTTAATTAATTTTCTAAAAAACAATTAATAAATTGATTCAAGGTTTCAGCCATCGACTTGTAATAAAATAATTTTTTGAAGCGTAAAAAAAGATATTTCAAATGTGTTGAAAAATTAAAATCCATTTTTATTGTCNAGTGAAAGGAGTGCAGAAGCTGTGGTATGTCAACAACCGCCACTACCGAGACTATGGACAGGTGCGCAGTAAGGTGGCCAGCTCGTTGTGGTACTACAAAAATCTGGACAACAATGCCCAGGAAGGCTCAGTTTCTTATGAGGCGTTGGTCGTCTGTTAATCGCTTTCAAGTCGATGGCTCAATGTCAATAGTTAATTAATTTTTTAAAAAACAATTAATAAATTGATTCAAGGTTTCAGCCATTGACTTGTAATAAAATAATTTTTTGAAGCGTAAAAAAGATATTTCAAATGTGTTGAAAAATTAAAATCCATTTTTATTGTCACTTTTTACTTTCCGAAAAAGTTTGTTCAAATCACGGATGTAAAAAAGGTTTACAGAGATGCAAAAACAAGCTCCGAGCCGGAGAATCGAACTCCGGTCTCCTGCGTGACAGGCAGGGATACTGACCACTATACTAGCTCGGATCAGGTTCTTGAGGTGTACAGTGGTGAGCGCCTATTTAAAAAGGCCATATTCTTGAATGTGGACTTTCCTGCATCTTATGTGCATCAAAACGCGTTTCATAAAATTGATAAAAGTTTGGGTTACAACTGTTCATTATCTCGAAATTGAAATCTTAAATCTTAAAAACTTTAAAAATATGTAAGCAAAGAGTTTGTTTACACTTTTTTTCTCACACGAGATAGAAATCTGATAAAAAAGTTTTAACTGATCTCCTTCAGTAAAGTACGTGCCACTGTTGTAAACAAAAATCCCCTTTTGTCGATTCTGGTTGACAAATAACCGATATCTGAATTCTTCAAATTATTTACAAAATTGTCTTATTAGAACAACATGAAATAAACAGTCAAAGCATCTATAAAGTTATTTATTACAAAAATTTACAAAATTTTAACTACATTTTCCCAGTAAACGAGTGTTTTCGATCACCGCAACGCCTATTAATTTAAAACCCCAACCATGGAAGAAGTTGATGCCATTTTGCTGTCTCAATTGCGGGAAATTGGATGGTACGTCAAATTTAAAAGTAAAGAATGTTTTAATTTAAAATGAATAATTTGTAGTGATCTTGACGATGACATTGCCGGCATATCGAGCCTGGACTCGATTCAGGTGATGAAATGCGTCGCCGAGTGCTTGGCCAGAATCCTCACTGACCCAATTGATACTGAGCACCTGCCCAAAGTCAACCAGATCTCCGAATCAATGAACATGTCTGTCCGGTACAAATACGCCACTACACTATCCACCTCCATCCAGGTAAGCTTTATAAGACGTTTTATTAGATTACAAGTTTCAACTGTTTTCTTTAGGACCTTGGCTACAAATCTGAAATTGGATACCAAACGTTCATGTACGGCAATGAACATGAGATTCGTCGCCTGCTGCTTTTTCTCATTGAACGCATTCCGCGAGACGACGAAAAAACTTCTGAAACGAGGGAAGGCGACCAGTTGTCAAGTGGCAGCATCACTCAAAAACTGAAAAACCTCAACATAAACACCATCTGGATTCCCTACTCCAACGATGATGATGATGATGGCGAAGAAGCTGTTGACGAGGAACTAAAGTACAGTGCCCAAAGTGACCTTCATGACCACTACAACTCTGTGCCTTTGAATGCCAATGCCATTCACACCGGTGCCGACGTTGGCTTCCGAGTCAACACATTTCTCTCCAAATCACACTCCAAGCCTCTGCAGCGATATGCCAAATATAAGCTTTCCAGTTCGACTGCCTCCAGTCAGAACCTCCTCCTACCTCAGTCAGTGGCCGACATTATGCAGTGGAACAGCCTCAACTGTAGAAGTGCACAGTTTGACGATGAAGACAGCGCCGATCCGCTGGATTTGTACATTTCCCGGTGTCGGGCAAACAACAAGAACGCCATTCAGTTTACTGCTGGACATCTAAGCTCAGCAATATCTCTGGATGAGAGTGGTGCCATTTCACTGCAGACGGATGCAGAACCGAAAACAGTCGAGTCAACTTTGTCACAAGCTACTGAAGAGACGGTAAAAGAGTTGACCAAGGAAGAGAAGTACGCACAGTCCATTGAAAAGTTGCGAGAGCGAATACGCGAGTATGACCAACAGATAGCCGAGTTTAACGAAAAGCAGGACCTTGTGACGCGCTGTGAAAGCGAGTACCAAGAGAAGTGCAAACAGTTTGAGGCCAGCTACAAGTCCAAAGAAGAGGTTTGGTTAAAAGTTTCAATAAAGATTAAATTTTCTGACCACTTTTTCCCTTTACAGCTTGAAAAGGGCGTCGCTACGATAAAGATGCAGATTGAGGAGATTGCCTCCACCTGGGAGCAAATACAAAAGGACCTTCTCGAGGAAATAAAGCTAAAAAAGTCGCAGAGTTTAGCACAAAACGAGGACTACCGGGAGAAAATGAAGCGCATAGTCTACCTGAAAAAGTCCATCGCAGCGAAGCTCAAGGAGATTCAGTCAAAGGAATCACTGGTGGCGGAGTTGACGGCGAAAAAGCCTGACGAGTGGCCACCAGGACGCGCCTCGTACACGCGTCGAATCATCGAAATCATCGGCAATGTGAAGAAGCAGAATGACGAGACGAAGAAAGTGCTGCTAGAGACAAAGACCATTCAGAAGGACATCAACACGCTGAATGGCAAAATAGAGCGCAGCTTTGCCGTCTCCGAGGACATCATCTACCGGGAAGCAAAGCTGAACGAGTGGAATCGCAAGTGCTACAAGCAGTTGGCACTGCTGCACACCACCTTTGACCAGCTACTGGAGGCAGTCTTCAGTGTGGGCGTCCACCTGCGGGAGATTCGCAACCTCGAGGAGATGGTGGACAATGAGCGAGCCCGCAAGGCGTCCTCCAACCTGACGCGAATCAACGCCGACCTGCAGCAAATCAAACTGGAGAACCAGCAGCTAAAGGGCAAAACTAGACAGCAATAGTGAATGAAACTAGAACTTGGGTTTTATTTGTAGAAATAAACGCAATTCATAAAAATATGATCAAAGGTAAGACACAATAAATTAAAAACAAATGTGTGTGAGAAAGAGAGAGAGAATACTTGAAGGAGAAATGCGCCCGAGATTGATATGGCCTGAAGTGAAGTCTAATTCTGCAGTTCAGTGTGTGGTGGTGAGGGTGATGGGGTGTGTGTGTATAGGTGACACAATCAGATTCACAACATTACATGGACAACACTACGGTCAAGCTGTGTTTGGGGATAGGTGATATGAAGGGTTCAGTGTGGTGTCGAGACAGGGCTTTTCTGAAAAGAAGTGTAGAAGAATGAATCGCTTCAGTCAGGTGATCCAGAGAAAAAGGAGTGTGGTCAAGTACAAAAAAAGTTGAGATGAATATGACTCTTCTCCCTCACTGATGGGGATTTGTGCTGATTGGAGTCAGTGATTGAGATGTGGAGAGAGCGAAAGGCAAGGTGAGGAAGAGATAGAAGTAGGGAGGATGAGGGAAAAGCGGAAAAGTGGGGCGAGTTTGGCAACTACGGTCAGAAGGAAGATGATGGAGAAAAGAGGGGAAGATAAGCCCAAGGCCTGGGCTGAGTATAACAAAAGAAATTTGGGAGAGGGCTATCAGGGTGATGGCAAATGGGGTGGGGCCTAAACAGCAACTCAGATGAGAATGTACAACTGTTGAGTTTTAGTTTCGCTGTTCAGTACGTGGTCATTGATTGGGCAGTCCAGAATGATGGTGATGCGGTACGTTCGCCTGCGACTGTGGTTGAGAAAGGGGTTGGTGAGTAAGGGGAGTGTCCGCAGGGGGCGCTACTACATTAGCGCTGGGCAATGTTCACACCTACCATTGGTGGTAACCTCAGCGAGTCGAGACTCATACTAGGGTCAATGGGCTGCATTGAATTTGAGCTGGTCACAATGGACTGCATGTGCTGCTGCTGGCCACTGTTCATCATGTTCGGGTGAGGCGGAGGGGCGTTGGGACCCAGCTGTGAGCCAGGAGGCACGCCGCCCATCATCGCAGGCGGCAGGGCAATGGCATTGGGAGGCACACTGCCCATGAACTTGCTGCTCACAGCCTGTTCGCTGCTCTTCTCCTCCTCGCGACGCTTCAGACAAGCCGTCTTGGGATTCAAGTTTCGCTCTGAAAGAGGGAGTAACAACACTGGTTAGATAAGAACGGAGAGATACTACAACACCACTACCACGATTACTTACCTCGAACTTGGGTCTCAAGATTGGTGATTACGTCAACTGCCTGGTGGAGAATATTCAGCTTTGTTTGCGCCTTGTCGCACTTCATGTGTATGACGACCATTCGGCCTAGCTCCTTGAAGGCTTCATTTATGTCGCGAACGCGGATCCTATAAAACGACACAAAAGTATATTAGTACTGAAAAGTAGAGCAAACAAACTTATCAGCCGAGTGGGCTCAACAGCGATTAAATCAGAAAGTAAAGTTCCACATAAATAAAGAACGGTTCTCGGTCGGGGAAAGAGTTATCATCATAAAAGTTGATAAACTGGCCAAGTCTGTAAACTACCCGCTAGAGAAGCGTACCTTTCGCGGGCATTGTTTGCCTGTCTTCTTTCCTTCTCGCGCTCCACTTTAATTTCAGGTGGATCGTCTTCGTGGTCAGAGCTAGAATGGTAAATATGCAAGCAAGTCAATAAAGGGGAAATAGTGATTGTTTAATTGCCGCTGGACTTACCCATCAAGGTCAATATCGTCGAGTGAACCGCCGCCACCACCACCGCCGCCATTGCCCCCGCTAACACTGGCGAGGTGAGCACCGAGTGCAGCACCAAAGGCAGCAACGGTGGCCGCCGCCGAGTTGGTGGAGCGACCACGAGCACGCTTCGGTTTCGCCACACGTCCACCTCCGCTCTTTTTGCCGCTGTTTGTGGTCGAGGTTGGAGCAGGAGTGGGCGCATTTGAGCTAGCTGCCTGACCGGCCACAGAGTTCGCCTGCAGATTGGACACCACAGGAGGCGATGCCACATTGGCCATGCCTCCTCGCATGTTCCCCATCAGGGCGCCATTAGGACTTTGCTGAAATAGAACAAAAGGAGACATCACATTAGTAGAGAAGAACACAAACATAGGTAAATTGAGCTAATCAGTTGCTCGGGCAGTGATCATCAGATAAAATAAGGTGGTCCACATTAATAAAGAACGGTTCTCGGTCGGGGAAAGAAGTTATCATCATACTACTGCTTTGGTACAGTAAACAAAAAATTCAAAGTTGCAAGACTTACCAGTTGTCCATCGAGCTGGGTTAGGGAAGAGTTGGAGGGAGGCAAGTATGCGCCGAGGCCACCGAGTTGGCTGCACTCCAAACTGGGGCCAGCATGGCTGCGCAGAATATCAATAGCATCGTCCAGGCGTTCGCCAACGTTGCCGCGAGGATGTTGCTAAAGAAAGTGAGAAGAGGAAGAGGAAGGTGTCTGGTTAGGTCGAGAGTCAACGATCATGTGTCGGTTGTGATCGTCAGTTAGTCAGTCTGGAAGTGGACGAGAGAGTGCACGTGGGATACAGTGTTTCCGAGAGAAAGAGAGAGAGGGACAAAACTGTTGCGACTATCGATAGAATCGAAGAGTGAGCCACTGGCAAAGTATAGCGCGGGAAAGCAAGCAAAAGCAAAAGCAGGGAAGCAAATGTTGGGCAAAATCATAGTACCTCACGGGAGTTGCCGGCCTCAGCCAGCAAGTGCATAGTTTCCGGGTCAAACTGGCTATCAAGGGGTACCGCCTGTTTTGTGGGTGGTGGGTGCATTGTGGTGGTGATTGAGGACAGTGCAAATTGGACAAGTGAGGGGATGACACCGAAACAGCCAAAACAAAAGAGAGAACAAGCAAAGCAAAGGGAAAAACAAAAAGGTGATTGAGCAAGGGAATTGTAATGTGGGGAGGGGTAATGTCTTGTGAAGTAAAGTGACACCAGCAATCACTTACCATACTNATTGTGGTGGTGATTGAGGACAGTGCAAATTGGACAAGTGAGGGGATGACACCGAAACAGCCAAAACAAAGAGAGAACAAGCAAAGCAAAGGGAAAAACAAAAAGGTGATTGAGCAAGGGAATTGTAATGTGGGGAGGGGGTAATGTCTTGTGAAGTAAAGTGACACCAGCAATCACTTACCATACTGTGCAGGTGAGAGACCTCGCCGGGAAGCTTGCCGGGGTCGGTGCCAGGATAGCCGGAAGGTGCAGATCGGTGCATCGCCCACTGCGCCTCCTGCTGAACACTGCCCGGTGGGTAGAGACTGGTCAGCTCGGGTTTGATGTCCACTCCAGGAGAAACCGACATGCTGAGGGGCCCAGCGGTTGTGGCGACGGATTGGGCGGAAGGGACGTAGGGGCCGCTCGGAGGGCGACTGGCAAAGCTGGACATTGGCGGAAGACTGGAAAGCTGGCTGCTGTTGCCGCTGCTGTTGTGGCTGCCACCGTGATTCGGACTGGCCACCGAGCTCTGGTCGTACAGGCCCGGGGTGCCCGGCGGAAGCTGCTGCTGTTGATGCTGCTCCAGTGAGTGCTGCTGTTGCTGGTGCACCAGACCGGGCACACCATACGGAGACTGCCCTTGGTTGCCGTACTGCTGCTGCTGCTGTTGTTGTTGTTGCTGTCCACCGTTCCAGTCCTGGGCCACACCACTGTCCAGTGGGTAGTAGTGGTTTGCAGAGGCATCACCAAAGAGGGCCCCTGAAAAACAAAAAAGAAATGAGTGAGTAAGTGAGTAAGCAAATGGAGTAAAACGAATGCATGTGTGAGCGTGTTCAAATGCGCCAGCTTGTGGCACAATCTAATTAAACAATTGCCTAGGCAGTGATTGTTCGGATGAGGCTGAACCGTCGACGACTACGAAGATAGGGACAGTAGCAGTGTGTTCTGCACACTGCTTGTGTCTGTTTATTTGAAGCCGAAATTAATTAAGAGGAGATGAAGATGAAGATGCAGTGAAGACAGCACTGGGCTCACTACACTTCAGCAGACGGTCTATAGACCGAGTCTGAGGAGGAAAAGGCGCCTCTTCGGCAAGCACCGCATCCACACACACACACAAACTCACTAACTACAGACTTATGATTGAGCTGGCCAACTGCTGCCGATGCTGATGCTGCTGCAGTAGCACTCGGTGGCAGTCTCGCTAATTATAGAACGGCGCATAATTGTTTCGGGAGAGGGAAAGTGGGAAATGGCATTAGCAGACTGAGACAAACTTTGCAAATGAGCACTTTTTCTTTTTTTCTACTCCTTCAAAACTACACACAGTTGAAGGACTTAATTTGCTGCTGAAAATCAATCAGTGAGGGCACTGGAAGAAATGGAAGATGCCTATGATGAAGCGCCAAGTGCTTCCCTGTCAAACATGGCATCAAGACACCGGTGAAAAACTTAGCAAATGACAGCATCAACACTACACTATTCAGCTGCTACAACACTTCTTGGCACTGTGTGCAACATTGTTGAAGGAAGAGCATCTTGAGCCATCATCGAACATCTTCGATTTGCTTCCAGATGAATGAAGACTCCAGTTCTACTGTAAACAAATTGCTGCCAAGCTGCTTAATTATGCTCATAACCATTACCATTGTCAGTGGTGGTAATGGTGGGGGAGCAATGGTGAGCTATACTATGAGCAATGAAATTGAGGAACAGTTTGCAATTGACGAGAAAATCAGAGCACGCCGCTTGTGCGTGCTGAGACGAGTGCCAAGACGAATCACAGTGCGCCTGTCATCGTCGGTTTCAAATGCCCTTTGGAATTCTCTCTCCCTTCCCTGACAGGGCCCAGTTGACCCAGTCGACAAGTGCATTGTGGACACATTTTCTTTGGCACTTTTTCACCTGCAGCGAGCAGAGAATTGTTGTGCCCGAGCACACCGAGTGACAATGGTGCAGCAGAGGTGCTGCTCGCAAATTGGCAGTTGCTGCTGACAAACCTCAGTCGTAAAGAGCTAGGCAAACACCGAGAAAGAGGGAAAGGGAGTCCACTGGAGTTCAGTGTCTGTGTCCTGCTTGTGTGTGGCAGAGTTTGGCAAACACCACGGGAAGGATGAAATTCCTCAGGTGTCGAAATGGCCGCGAGCAGCAGGTTCTTCTTTACCTTCAGTTCTCTCTGCGGCAGGATTCTCTTTGTGCACCGCAAGAGAAGACGTAGTCTGTCTCCTGCCGAGAGTAGGAGAGAGAGAGAGAAAGAGAGCGTTTCAGTTCGGTAGCAGGTAAAACAGGCAACGCTTAACAACGCATCGAGATCGCACCTTTGCTTGAAGAAAAACAAGCGTTCACAGGAGCGCAGCAGTCGGCCCAGACTGCTTGACGACGCTGGAAGGGGTGAAAGTGGGCTGATGTACAGGCAACAGTGCAAAGTTATCGACACTGCATTCCCCCATCTCCACCGCCACCACCTCTTCTTTTTCTTCTCACCTATGACCTCACTACTAATGGCTTGTCACTGCCTTGGTAATGATCACAATAAAAAAAGAGCGGCCATAAAGCAGCGTTAAGGGCTTAAGACGGTCGTTCTTGCTGCTGTTGCAGTTGCTGATTCGGGCAGTGAGGACGAAGACGGAGAAACGAATCACTGCCCTGACAGAACGCAAAACTGAAAGTAAAAGAAGAAGAAGAAAAAAAGAAGAGGGCAAAAAGCGAAGGAAAACTGGCTGCCCAAGTGTAAGCACTGCTCCCAAATTCCACCTTGAGATAGAGGCATTGCAGTTGAACTCAAACTCTGTGTGTACACCATGAGTTGTGAACTCCAAAATCAGAGTCTCAAAAGCAAAGTTGATCTGGGGAAAGCAAAGCACCTAGTCGATTCTACCTGCTGCTGCTTATCGCCGACTGCGCCTGAGAATGTTCAAAGAATCCATTTGTGCTTGCCACCTTCAGTGCCACTTTCTGAGTTTGACCTTGGCCGCGAACCATTCTTGCGTGCACTTCACCGTCACAACCCCTTTCAATGGTGTCTTTCATCAGCGGATTTGCACCACTCTGAGCACTTTCTGATTGAAAGTGGACACGCAAATGTAATGGCAGTGACAAGACTGCTTCTCTTTTCACACAGTCCTGCATTGTAATTCATAATTCGCACAGCAAGAGAGCAAAATGAGCGACTGTGCGATTGCACAAGTGTCAAGGTGAAAGGAGAATTGGTGGAATCGCTGGTCAATACTGCTCATTAAGTGCATTAAAGCATGTGCCACTAGCACTAGCAATTGTGAAACGTAAAACTTTTGCTAAGTAAAAGAGAATGTGCCAACAAAAGAAATGAGGGAAAAGACAGCGCTCCACCTACCTCTGGTATCACAATAGGACGAGTAGTACTGAGAATCAGGCGTCGGCGTGGCTGAGTTGCCAGGTCCGCCATTTCCGCCTGCACCATTGGCGGCGTAGTGCTGCTGCTGCGACTGCTGCTGTTGCTCGGGCGTCAGCTGGTGGTAGGCGGGCGGTGGCAGTGGGCCTGCACCGGCACCTCCTAGGCCCAAACCTGCCTGGGCATTGGGATTGCCCATGCTGATGAGGTCTTCGTGCTGGCCGTGTTGCATGTGCGACGTGTCCACCACTGATTGTTGCGCCGCTCCATAAGGCATCCCGAAAGGCATTTCAGGCCGGTGTGCTTTGTCTGTAACGAAGGTGGTTGGAAGGAAAGTTTATTATTAGTTTACTCATCAACAACTGATAACCTAATCAGTTTGGGTAAAGTTAAAATGACGTTTTTTCCTATGAAAAGTACTCGATTCTATCTTTTGTTTTTTCTTTTTGCCCAGTGATATCGTTTGTGCGGTCGTTTGGTCGCCCTTGTCGGCAACTACAGCAGCTAGTACGCCAGCAGTGGCCCGTCTTCTGATGATGGCAATCCACCACCACCATCAACAGCAGCAGCTCCACCACCACCGCCATCACCACCAGCAGCCGTAATGGCTCGAATTGCAAGTCGAAACAGCTGCTGCTGTCAATGATGCCGCTTGCGCCGATGGTGCAGCAGCAGCAGAAGGAGCAGCAGGAGCATCAGCAAGGATGGCCAGCCATTCTCGCAGTCAAAACGGCAGCCTAGCTTCATCGCATCAGCACTAGCCTCCAAACTTCTGCATGCAGTGCCAGCAGTGCTCCGCTTTAGCTCCAACCAACTTCAAGCTTTGTGTGTGTTTGTCTCTGTTTCTGCATGCACGTCTGTGAGCACTGCTCCTATTCTCTCTTTCCTTTAGACGCCTTCGCACTCTCGTGGGCGCCTTCCGTTAAAATATAAAGTTGAAAGTTATTATTATTACCATTGCAAATAATCAAATAGCCAGTCGTACTGGTCGAGGAAGAGAGAGAGTGGCAGTCAAAGTGCACTTGCGCAGATGGTAGCATTCAGGGAACCAGGCAGACACACCACCGGCCAGAACCATCGTCACCATCAGTGGCCAAGTTACGACAGCTTTTCTAAACGAATTGCTTTACTATAATTTCTGTTGTCGCAGACAGTGCTGCTGGCTTTGCAGAAAGTACACTGCAACTGCTTACTCGCTCTCGCTCTCTCGGAGACATCCTCTGCCAGTGAAAAGAGAGGGAGAAAGATCATCGATGCTGATAGGACATTGGCGGAGAAGGAGAGACTCTAGGCTTAGCAGAGAGAGTGTGCTGTTGGTGGTGAATACGATGACTGCAACATGTTGAACTGCAGCAAGTGAAGTGAAGTGGGAAAGGGCAATGGTGAGGATGAGAGCAGCAGGCATCAGGCGCAGCAGTTGCCTCCTTCTGGTGTCAGCTGCTGCTCGCGCCATTCACTCAGCCACACTGCGCCAGTTGTCAGCAGCGGTAATGATCTCACTAATCGAGCGATGAAGAGACTTCTAACGCAAACATGGCAAAACAAGAGGAAGCAGAGAAAGGTGGTGGTGATGCGGTGGGTCGCTGTGATTCATTCCTGCTAACTCCTGGCCTATGTTCACTGGTTGCTCGGCAACAGCACGAGCAGCCACGAGCCACACACTTTCCTGACTAGAGTAATCCAATTGAGGGTGGTCTGTCGTGGGCAAAGGTGCCATGGCCAATTTGTTGCTGCTGTTGTTATTGTTTTTTCTCGGAAATAGGAAACTCAAAGGAAAGACCGCAAGCAATGGAGGAGTTAAAGGGAGCAGTCAACGTGTGTGTGCACTCAGTCATCATTCCAAGCTGGTGGGTGGATTTTCCGCACGCGACTCTGNACAGTCAACGTGTGTATATGTGTGTGCACTCAGTCATCATTCCAAGCTGGTGGGTGGATTTTCCGCACGCGACTCTGTCAACAAACTGCGGAAAGGTCGTAAATGAGGCCCCAAACTATCCGAACAGCACAGAAGGTTCTGGGTACCTCTCTCTCACTCTCTTTGGTGCTCTCTTTCAATCGACCCAACCACTGGAGCCGTTATGAAAGCAGTAATTAGTGTGAGCAGTGACTGAGAGGGAACAAAGAAGAGCAGAGAATTGAGACACACTGAATGTAGTGCCGCACTGCGCCAAGCTGCGCTCGCTTGGCTTCTCTTTCTCTTGTGCACTCTGCAGCTACGACCAGCCGAGCTTTGCGACCCATTGCGGTCGTGCCCAGGACAGGCTGGCAATGCTCAGCAGTGCTCTGCCTCTGCCTCTCTTCAGCGACTGCTCCACAGCCACCGCCACCACCACCACGACCATTTCCGCTGGTGACTCTCTGTCACTGTGAGTAATGCTCTCTTTCTCTTATGTGTGCGCGTGCATGGTTTGTTGCAGGGCAGTCAGCACTGCACCGCAACGGCGGCGAATCAACAGGAATTGTGATTGCTGACGAGAAAATGAACGAAAAAGTGAAATGAACGATGAATTGAGCAGTAGCAGCAGCAAAGGCACAATGAGCACTGGTGGAAGTGCAGGACAACCTCGACCGAGCCCTCATCTGCCGTCCTCATCGTAGTGGACCCAAAAAACAGCAAACTCAATGTAAATAAAAAAAATTAAAAAACAACAGCAAAGGACTCAGACAGTGTGTAATGAGGATAGCTAGAAAGTGCTCTACAGGCAAATGTCAGAGCAGACTATTCGTCTGGACTGCATCCATTAATTGAGACATACGAGGGCCAATTAGACAGGAGAGAGCAAAGGAAAGCTAACAAATGACACCAAAAGTTATTAATCATCAGAAAAATGCACCGAATATAGATTCGTCTGCAAATGAGAGTGTAATGTGTGTGTTGTTTGTG